ATTTCCAGCTTGTTTGGAGGATTTTTGATTCTTTATAGCAGAATAGGAAGAAAATCCAGGAACAATAGGAGACATATATATCTCCGGGCACAAAACGTTGCCAAGAACGTTGCCCTTCTTCCTTAGTGGGAAAACCAGTGCCCAGAAACTTTTTAGAAATACAGTCTGAAAGGAGCGAGAGACAGAGCAATTTATGTTATGCAAGAAGAAATTAATAGATAGGAAGAGTATTTAGCTCCATCTCGTAGAAATAGAGAGAGTAATATGACTGACAACATTTTTTCACTCCTCATTCCATGCTTAGATTCGACAGCAATAAGTCCGAGACTCCCCCTCTGTGTTCTGGCTGCCATTAAGATCAGGGAAATTGAACAAGACAGATGAAACAAAGAGGTTGATTCCTGAGAACTGAAAGGGAATCCCATTTTAATATACAGACGAAACACCGATGAACACCAGGGTAGTTCAGATAAATCCAGTGAGCTAGCAACACTGGAACTGGTAACGAATGCAACTGGACCAAGTACAACCATTTGAACATGACTTTTGATTTGCTGCAGTAGAGTACCTCCTTCTAGGGTAACCTAAGTTTGTTGCGCTTTTTGCTTTCTCACCCAGGAAGGTCATATCCCTCAGTAGCCTTCCAGGTAAATCAAATTTTTCTCTTCCAGCATAATGAAATTCCTCAATCTGTGTCCAGGAAAAGGTCATCAACATGAAAGAATCTTGAAACTCTCTGGGCACTATGGAACCAAAACAAAATTATTTTTTACTTTCTGAACATGCTGCCCAGTGACAAGGACCGAGAATCCAGCCTTTCTATCAGTGACAAAGCCTTTCTATCAGTGTTGCTTAGGACTAAGAATTTTGTTTTTGGGGACCTCAAAGGAACTCCTTCCCCATTCCTCCTTCCCTCACCAGGCCACTAATACTTAACCCTGGCTAAGAATTTGGACCTTGTAGCTCAAAAAAAAATGAACCTACGGAAGAAAGGAAGTCAAGCAAACCTTTCTAGCCAGCAGATACAGATACATTCCCTTTACATGTCTATCATGCTGAACACAAGACTGGACTGAGTGCGGATAGGTTGCTGTTAGTACTTGCTATTTTTACGAGGTTCCTCTCATAGGAGTCGCACCGAAAACTTTGAAGAAAAGGACAGGTTTTGTTGATAATATAGGCCTGAAGAGACCAGAGCTGGATCACTGAATCCAGTTCCACAGAAGTGCAGGCAACAAGGTGGTAGATGGACACACAGAATATTTAGTCTACATGTCAAGCCACACTATTGGCCTCAATTTCCCCAAGGGAGCAGAAATCAAAAGAGCTATAATTCGTTTATTGTTGTAATCAAAGCACTAGTTTTCCAGCCAGGCTTCAGTCTATTAACGATAATCCTTTTAAACCTTACACACCTTTAACGTTGCCTAGCAAAATTAGGACGGTTGGTGATAATAAGTATCAACTTGGAGTAAGCTCCAGATAATCACCTCCTTACACATGCTTTTATTTTGCCTACATTTTATTATATCTACACAATATACCTTTTTGGAGGTGTATCTTACCATACTTGTTAAGATAACGGAATGTCTAATTATTAGCTATGCGAATCACTTATCTTCAGTTACACCAGCATTCTGTTTGCTTTACTGTCACGTTCCCATGACCCCATCATTTTTAAAATTTAAAGTCACATTTACTTATTTATTAAAAACAATTGTAAAAAAGTAAGCCAAAACCTCCAACTACTACAAAGCTATCAAGACTCTATTTTCTAATCAACCACATAAAAGGTTACAGTGTATTACCTTGCTTGGCTTTAGATACCAATACACCAACAACTCAAGACACTTATGTCAAACAAGTGTCTCAGATATAAAACTTCTCTCCTTGAATTTCTGTAAAGTTAAAAAGGAAGTATCCTCAACAGACTCATCACTTACTCCTGGAAAACAAATCGTATTTTCCAATAAATAAAACAACTTTACAACAATGCCCTTCCGTGCACTATTCTCAACCCAAATATTTTAGCACTGCATTAATGTGTAAATATGACCAATTCTCTAACATCTGCTCGCGGATTATCTGATTTGCAGGTAAATAAAATCAGGAGGGGAGGCTGGCTCCACAGGGGCCAAATGAAGTACAGCAAGGATTCCTAGTTCATGTTGAGTGTATCTAACCAGTAAGTTTACATGCAGAACCTCTGGAGACTTTGTCTTTTGCCTCAGGTAGGCATAATCTGTTCAACCAACAGCTCAAGGAGCTCTTGCTCACAATCAACTTCTTTTAATTATAGATACTTTGATGACATGTCCTTTACTGGGCCCTTTGCCCTTTTTTTTTGCACAGAAAATACAGAGCATTTGGAATTGATTACAGCTCTGTTAATACACATACCACATGAGCCAACTGTCAGAATGCTTTGCCAACTCTTTCCGGAACAAGAAAGGACAGCTAACTTTGAGAAGGTGTAAAAAGCCAGGCCTTCAGCATCTTAAAAGTTCGCATACAAAAGGTAAGACCTTACCAGGGATGAAATTTCAACTGGATGTTTTCCTAACGAAAAAATGGGAGGAAAGAAGAGAGTCTCTCTCCCCATTTTACTCACAGAAATTAAGCATGTGTCCAGGGGTGCACAGGCTAATGCTGTGCTAGAAATCCAACATCCCGGAGTTCCAATTTAGCTTCTTTGTCATACTCCTCCCCTCTTTCTCTTCCTCCCAAATCACCTAAAATGTTCTAGCTATGATTTTCTGCCACAATATAATCCCTATCCCCAACCTCTCTAACAAACAGCTTGAGGGATATCAAGCATTTAAGAAATAGCTGTTTCTAAAAATAGAGGTGATCTAATTTCTTGGAAAACTTCTTAATGATTCTTTGTAGTGTTGTAAGCCAAACAAGGATATTGTGGCTAAGCAGCTTTTGAATAAACATGCTTTTGAGCAGTTTTTGGGGGTATTATCTAGTTACTAATGACACTTTCCATTCAGCTTCCTGATCACAATGAAATGTGCTTTAATTTTTTGTGGAACTGGCATATTGATGTACTTTCTTCAGGAGCTGTACTGTGGGGTGATTTAAAGTTTCAGCTCCTCCTGTAGGAATTTCTGCAATATCATGCTTTTGGTACTTAATGCAGATCCTCTCAGCTACTGACAGAGGAACTAATTAGAAGACAGACAGACAAAGCAGGCTTTCAGCCGCACCAGCACTGTGTTCACATCAGTTAAGTATTTCTTATAGTTCAATAAAACCCTCTTGTCATTTACCTCCAAAGTTTATATTCTGCAGTCTCCCCACCACCATTTCGGTGCGCCAGTTCTGTAGAGTTCTACGTCAGTCCAGATTTCCTAAGAAGCAGGTCTCAAATGCTGAGAAAGATGCCTGCAGTATTTCCAAGTCTCACAGGAATTTTTTTTCCTTCCCAGGAAGGAGTGGTTTCAACTAAATCAGTTTAAAAAAATTTTCATTAAAGCAGTGCAATGTCTGCAAATAAATAAGGAAAAAAACTTTTTTCAAGAGACACCAAAACTTTGAAATTCCTCGAAAGCTTCTGATCTTCTTTGCTTAAGTCTTAATCTTCAACTAGCAAATCCCCTTTTCTCAGTGAACACAACTGTCTTTCTGTCTATTTAGGAGGAAGTAAGGGTGTCAGCACCTTAGAGGTAAAACTCAGCACTCTATGCTAATTGGATCTGTGATTCCACATGAACCACTACTAGCCTGGTTCCTAAGATCAAAGTATCCTCTGCCTAACTTTGCAACCAGAGAGAATTTAAAGGAAAGGAATAGTATAAGAGTACAGAATAATTCAGGTACAAAACATTCCCACGGCACCGTTAGAAAATAAATCACATAAATAATAACGGAGAAATATAGCATTCTTCACAGGAAAACACAGCTGAAGGGAATGAAGCAACCAGTTATTTTTACAAATGGTGCTTCAGCAGTGACTGCACAATAAGGTTAATCTTGGTATTTTGTCTTTGATGCACACATATTACTTATACAGTCAGGACTGAAGCACTGGCAGTATCCTTGTTGTATTTGCAGCCTAAGTGCATCCCCAAGAGCCAGCAAGGTAAAAGACACATTCATAGAATGTTTGTTCAAACTTCCCATGAGGCAAACTATCCCTTAATGAAATCCATGATTTCTACGGCACACGGTTCCAAAAAGATGTACTCTTAGAGTAAAGTACAGATTAGTACTCTTGACATAGATAGTAGATGAATCTTATATCGTAAAGCTCAGGGTAGCAGAAGGTGAAGTATGCAAGCATAAGTAGCACGAGCCAGAGGATACATACAAAAAGTAAACAATCAACAACAGAGCATTTCTTTAAAATTGCATTATAAACAACAGCTAAAACAACGCTCTGTAAATAAGCATATGCTACCAGATAAACCTTTTATACTTATAGTCAGACTACAGCCATAAGTGAGACAGCCCTTTATTAAGCAGAGCTCTCTGCTACAGCTAATACAAAGGCGTTAGGAGTGTCCATGTTTGATTTTGCAGCAGGGTCTTCTCCCATCTCTTTCATCATTAGATCTGGCCACACTAAACACTGGGGACTTTAGTATCCAGAAAAAAACTGATTACGGAGCTCACACCCAACTCTAGCAAATCACACAGGAAGATTTAAACATGCTACATAAAATAATATGTGAGGAGAAGGATTACTTCCAGTCAATGAAATGGAGACATAGAATTTTAAACGCCTTGTTGTGGACTGCCCAGTGACCCAGTTTGTGAACCAAGAACAACAGCTGGGAGTCCTAAACTTGGGTGCTTTGCTTTAACCACTCAGTTATTCATATTCCCTGCCTTTGACAGAAGATACCCCTGGGAAAAAAAGTACGTTCTTTCCCTGAGAGGACCATTTCCAGGAGCGATGTTGGCTATTCTCACTGCCAAGTAGCGAGTGTAGAAGGGACTGATCATTGAGAAGGAAGCAAAGGACAAGGAGAATGATGAGGAGAGGTTCATACCTATCCAATACATCTGGGAGAGATAAGACCACCCACTGCCATATTCCGAAACCTTCACTGTTAGCTGAATGCCAGAACGTCCTGCTCTGTTCCTTCCCCGTTTTGTTCTCGACGAGCACCAAGGATATATTTCCCAGCAAGACGCCACGGATGAGCCATGACAATCGTAGCTAGAAAGAAGAGAACAGACAAGATTAACCACCACATATATTATCCAAAAGTTAGCAAAATTCCCATACTCATTTCTCCCTTTCTCATGCACATGCCATCATTTCAGAAAACTCCAATTTCACCATGGATGCGGAAGCCTGTAATACTCAGCATATGCTATTTAATAATGGAACTGTGGCTTTTTTTTCCGTGAAAGTTGAGTTCAAAACATCTCAGTTTTAGCTTTCATGTCTATAATTTTAAAAGAATAACCTCATGCCTCTATGATTCACGGTACAAAGATCACTCTTGCCTTAGATGCTGTCCAAGAGATTCAAGTTCAGACAACATTTTCAGTAATAAAATATTTTATATTTAGACAGGGCAGAAAAAAAGGGGAGAATAGCTGCAATAAGCAGATGTCACTAGCAATCACATCCTCATCCCCTGGATATCCTTTTTGAAAATCATTTTTTCCTTACCTCTCCCCAAGTTTCTAGAGACATTCCCATTATGGTCCAGTGATAATTAGATTTTTATTGAAGTACTGTAGGAAATATATTTTCTAACATTTTTGTTATGTTTAATGTAACTGAGTCCCTTTCTATCCCTTTATGTCCATATGTAAAAAATTACTTCATTTCGTTTTCATATTTTATGACTTTTTCTCCCTCATTGTCAGAAAAGAAATACAAACCTTTTCCATCGGGCTAGTCTCAGGCTAGCACTATGCGAATATTGCCTTCTAATTTCCTTAGGAAGAAGAAGGGTTAGCTCTTTGCTGATAAAAAGCCTAAGTAAAATGTACATACTACATGTAGGACCTGGGTCTCTACAGCCATCTTAATAACCAGTAGAGGTAAGAATGCTGAAGGAGCAAGTTTATTAAAACTACATTAATGATGGATCTTTTGGATCCAAGAAACTGGTCAGCACAGTTTCTAGAGTCACTTTATGTTAAAAAAATAGTCCTCTCTTTTTTTAACCCGTTGAAGCCAACAAGTAAGCAGGGAGGCTAGTAATCAAACCTATATTTTACACGGGAATATTCGATATTTTTTTGCCTGCTTTCATAGCATAGAATAATCGTATCCACCTTTCAGCATGAAAAGTACTTGCTAGATTTTGCTTGCTGTTCCCGTCTCGTGGTATAATTCTGTTTCAGCAGCCAAGTCAGATTTAGGCATTAAAAGGACAGAAGTGTTTCTATTATTCCTACTTTACGCTCACAATTGCAAAGCAGGTGGAACAAAACTGTAGGTAGCCATTATATTAACTGTCAGTGTTGAATTTAGGGAAGCAGTGCAGCTCACACACTCTGGTTTTCATCTTTCTGTCTCCAAAGTTGGAAAGAGAGTAATGACTTTGACCACAATGAAAAAATACGACAGATACTGAAAACTCTAGATGTGATTCTTCTCTTCCTCCAGTCCAAATATCACTGCACTTCCCTGGAATCATTCCTGAGTCTGCTGCACTACTACTTCTTATGATATAAGCATTGAGATGGTATATTGCACTGCTATGCAAGTATGGGTCTGTAAAGCCATTTCATTATGTCATTCTGACCAGGGATGTTCAAGACTGATATGTAAGGTTTTGAGCAGTTCAATAAACCATTGCAGGGGCCTTCCAGACCATGGCGCTTCTGGAGACATGCCACTACTCAAGTCTGACTACCAGCTCACTCTCATCCCAAGTCTAGGAGAAGACTTGTGGAGTCCTGTCTCCCTTTTTCTAACATGGGACCAGCGGAATACACAGTGTGGACCAACAGTTTTTCACCTCACAGACATCAGAGCAAAGAAGCAGAGTAGAGAAGGACTGCAAAGAACTGCTTCAAATACCACACAAAGCGATGGTCAGGGAGGTAGCTGCAGGGGGAGGGCTGAGTTCATACCCAGGCGTTCACCGGAACCAACACTGATTGAAGAGGCTGCTGCTGAAGGGTTTATGCTGTAGGAGGCTGGTAGCTGCAAACTTGGTGCCTTCTGTATGGCCTTAACGTCAGGTTGCAACCAAGACTAGAAAGTCTGTCAGGCACTTTATACTCTTTCAGGTGCCTATATATTGAGACTCCTGAAATTACAGTGATAACTGCTCGCTCTTAAATACCACTGGAATAGCTTTAAGACTCACTTAAGCCATTTCCTTTGATTCACCAAGATTAAACTTTATCACTTTGGAAATCAGACAAAGAACAGGCTGATGCTAATGAACATTCAAAGAATTTAACCTATAGCAGGGAAAGCTAATGCCATTACTGAGAGTCCACTGAAGCATCTCTAGGACCCTAAGGCCAACTCTACTGTAAAGCACTATGTGAAATTTCCAATATAGACAAGTGGAGCAACTTTACTGGGCCATTTTTACAGTTCAAAATTTGACAGGTAAGACCTTAAAGGTTTCAACACGCTACACAGGAGCTTTCAGACCTCTCTCTCTTCTGGAGACCTGCCAGATAGTAAGAGGCAACATCGACATGGTCAAAAGTGAGAAAAGAGTGAGCCTTTGAAAGCTATTAATGTAACACTAGACCAAAAGCTGAAGCAATTGATGAATTGGAATGGCTGCCTTTGCACACATGTCAGCTGTTTGAAGGAAAGCAGTAGCTGGCATTAGATGTGGGAGATCAGCTCATTGGCAATGTGCAATATGCAGACTCTAATGAACTGGCTGTGAGTGAAACGACTGGCACAGTGTCCAAACGGGCACTTTTGGCTATGATTTCCATGGTTTCTAAGCTTCACAGCAGGGCAGTCCAGGTCTTTTCACACCTGCTGAAGTGAACTAGAGCAGATGATGAGCTGGATGCCACAGTAAAGACTTCCGAATAGGGCTGGCATTCATTTTACAGAATAGAGCATCAATGATGGCAGATGGTACTACATACACGATGAGCCCTGTAAGTAGTGCAGTGGTGCATTTTGAAAGATCTGTATCTGGGCTGTTGGTGGCATACCCCTAACATTATGTATCAAACGTCCTCCTCTGTGTTAGACTGGCAGCAAACTATTCAGAAGCCAGAAATATCATTGAGAAATTAATTAACCATTGCAGGTAGATGCTGGCTCAATGCTAGCTTGCTTTCTGGCTTTAGAACCCAGCATTACACTTGATTAGCTGCTTGTATACAAACCCACTGACTCAGTAAATGAAAAGCTCTAAAAAGATTTGGGGAATTTATAGGGAGAGAGAGCCCATTGTTAAGACATAGCATATTAAGCAAAACTTGGGTCAGATGGCCGCATGCAGTGAACTGCAAACACCATCTGGAGAGATGCCTTTGGAGAATCCCCCTTAACCTCCGAGTTCGTGGAATATCCGAACTGACAAACAGGAGATTCTATTCATCAAAGAAATAACACAAAACTAATCCTTATCAATATCAACAGGGCTTGGCAGATTTAACAGAGAGGTGAAGAAAAACACTGAAGGTAGATTTTTCAAGTGCAAGCCGCATAATTTCAAGACCGCCTGAGAACTGAGAAAGACTTGCGCATTACTTATACATAGAAGAAATAAAATATCAAGACCTTTTTGGATGAAGCTTGAGTTTGGTTGCACCTGTGAGTCTACTGTAATGGCTAGAAATATTCCAGTACGAACTAATGCTCCGAGGTCCGATCGAGGACCAAAGACACACACTCATAGCAGTAGGTCTCTAAACAGAAATTCCTCAGCGACACTCTGGAAAGTTGATGTTTCACTTTCCTTTCTTTCTGACTGGCGATGCCTCCAACTATCAGCATTACAGTCCTACCTGGCAGAACACATGCTTCCAACACAGTCAAATATTTACAGTATTTTTAACAATATAGAGAAGAGCCCACAGGCATCTTTGCCCATCTTGGAATTGCAGTAGTTGGATCCCAGTGATGAGTGTCCTTGCTGTCTACACCCCAGTTCTGCACTGCAGGCTGATATCTTGTGAGACAGAAGCAGTAGGTGGCCCTCATGTCTCCATTAACGCTCCCCATCTATAATACTTACTGAAGGAATTGCTCAAGTTTTCCTAACCAGGAACAATGGATTCCTGTAATGCAGAGACTTATTTTCTGAATAATAACTCTTGTCATGCCTTTTCTTCTCTGGACAGCAAACAATAAAAGTTACCTTCAGATGTGAATGCACCGACCGAATAATTGGAAGTCAGGCATAAAAGCAGATTGGAAAAAAAGTCATCATGTTGAGGGTTCACGAAATAGAAATTTAAGCTACAAGTTGCAATACATTTTACACAGAATTAGGCAATAGCTGTAGACAACTTGGCCAACTCCCAGTAAGTTTTGTACACAGATACGAAGTACGTTGAAGTCACAACGTTCATTGCGTTGGCAACGTTGTTTTTCCTGCTAGAAATGAGAGATGGTTCTACACACCAGGACAGGCATAAACGTCTCGGCACAGACATCTCTTTGGATCACCCAGCAATTTAGATTTGGACTCTTATGAACAGGAAAGATGATCAAAAGAACCTGTTCCAGCTTTGCAGCCAGATCAATAACTGTGCAAGATCAGTCTCTGTTGTGGTCTACTGGCACGTCTGTTTTTTGTTAAGACTTGGATGTATAAGCAAAACCTTATGTAAACGATAAAACGATAATTCAACAGATTTGATCATGTATCTTTAAAGCATTTAGGAAAGCAAGAGAAGCTCTCATTTTATATGAAGACATTCTCATGCTACTTATTCCCACATTACTTCTTATCCATGTTTACTTTTATAAAAAGAACCCAATAAAAGCATCCTCATTTCAGGAAAAAAATAAAAACAAATATAAAACCAAAAACAACAAAAGAGAGAGAAAGACAGAATGAGTCAGCTGCCAGAGTACCATGGAGTGGCCAGGCCTTTGAGAAATTTCAGATATTATACATCATCCAGTGACACAGAATCCAGGTGGCAAAGGAACCAACAGAAGACTAGGACCAGAAACAATGAATTAGCTGTACAGGTATTTAAAAACAACACTTAAAAAAAAAAAAAAAGGATGCTAACAACATGAAAGGCAGTGCT